TGATAATTTGTATTTGTTTTGTATGAATTTGTTACTTATATTATTTTCTTATGTTCAAAATGAAACTACTTTGCTGAAAATTAATTTAATATTTACTGGTTACTTTAGGATGTTTATTGTTACAACTTGATGCAATCTTACTTTATAATAGCAGTGAGAAAGTAACTTTACAAGTATAAAACATGCCAAAAAAATATTGTATCAAAAACTTTTTTAAATGGTTTTCAAAGTTTTTGAAAATCTGAGGATATATTGATTTCTTCTACGACTGCAAAAGTAATATCAATTTTACAATACTTAATTGATATCGATGATCACATACTAACAAGTTTTAGTTCTGTTGCTTCACAAATTTTATCGCACTTATAAAAAGTTTGAAAAAGTTCTAATTTTAATAAGCACTAAGTTTTTAAGTTGTAACTAAGTTGTTTTTCTGCTATTTTGGTGACATATTATGCAATCTACATGAAAGATTTAAAGATATATATGGTATAAATAAAAAAAGGTCATAAAGAACATGCAGCTGCCCTACCTAATTAATTTAGAGATAAGTGTATTACAGTGGCTGTGTTAAAAGTTTTTTTATTTTTTATTTTGTTAACATTTATATACAACCAAAAGTCATGTTTAAAAATTGTTATCTTAAAAAAATTGAAACTCAAATAGCAATAGTACAAAAATAAATATCAAAAAATATCATACAAAGATAATCGTCAAAACTATGATACATAAATTCTCTATGCGATTAATACTTTCATTGATTTTTGAATAAGACCATTTTGCTAAGAGTCTTCCTGACATTTGCTCCAGAAACTTTTGCAGATTCCAATTTTCCAAGCTGATGCAACCTTATTTTGCAGTAGCACTTAGCAAGTAATTTAACAAGAGTAAAGATATGGTTTTCATAAATTCGGTTATCAAACATGATTATCTAAGTCCCGAAACACTAAAGATAAATTTATTGCTTCTAAAACTGAAATTGCAATAGCATTAACTATACCAGATTTTATTATGGGTAACTTTCCAGAAAGTGTTGACACTATTCTAACAATTTTTTGTTCAGTCATTTTGCACACTTTGATAACACTTGTTGAAGGTTTGAAAAGACCACCTCTATCTTTAAAAGAAAGAAAGGTAGATTCATGACGATACTTAATTGAACCAATAGCTTTGCAACATTTTATACATACCAATTGCTTTTCAGCCATTTTGGCAACATATCCAGCAATATATGATATAGCAGATTTTTTATAGTCTGATAATATATTTACATTAGGTGCATTTAAGTAATCATGGTCAGTAATTTGTGGTGTTACATTATTTGACAGATTATATTTTCGTATAATAAAGGCAACACTTATAGTGCTTTTACTGTCAGCATCATCTAATACATGAAGTATACTAATTGGGTCTCTATTTTCACAGTTGCCACTGCCACCTGTAATGCTACTTCTGAGAAGTAGTCTTTTATATGCTGCAGTAAATTGCTGACAAGTTGGATTGTTATTAAACCCACCAGATGAGCGAATGGCCCCAAAAAAAAGCTCTAAATGATCTTGACTAAGTTTGTACGTTAAAAGATACTTTAGCGGTGATTGTTCTTCTTCAACCAAAGTATGAAAGATCTAAAGACACATGTGTAGTTTTATTAAAATAATTATTATTTCAACTTACATTTATCAGTTGTATGCTGATAATTAATGGTTGAATAATAATAAATCTCGTAAAAATATTGTACACAAAACCAAAGGGAAAATAAAAGAAATTCAGGTATAATTATTAATGCTTCTTATAATTTTCTAATTATGTTACATTATTCTACAAACAGAGTGCTCAATGTTCTTAAAGAACAGAGCAATAATAAATTAGTAAAAACACTTATGTAATTTTCTTCAACACTTTGTTTTGCCATCAGTAGGCTCATCAGGAAGAACCTTCCTGATAAGTCTGATGGCAAAAAAAAGTGTTGAAAAAAATTAGATAAGTGTTTTTACTAATTTATATATATATATATATATATATATATATATATATATATATATATATATATATATATATATATATATATATATATATATATATATATATATATATATATAACATGCATACCTGCTTTGTGCTTTCTATTGCTACAAGAAATCCAATAAAAGCAGTCTTTCTTTTTGTTGTGTGCATTTCAATACCCATTTCATTTTGAAGACCAGTTATGTACCTGGCAATTTTATTTTGTATTATTTATATAATAATATTCAATTTTAATTTATTATACAAATAAAAGATAACATACAGTGCGCAAGTTAACACACACACAGAAATATATATATTCTTTCTGTCTCTTTATGAATATTTATTATATATATATATATATATTTATTATGTATATATATATATTTATTATGTATATATATATTTATTATATATGTATATATTTATTATATATGTATATATTTATTATATATATATATATATATATATATATATATATATATATATATATATATATATATATATATATATATATATATATATATATATATATATATATATATATATATATATATAAAGAGAGGAAGAAAGAAAGAACTTTTAATATTTATAAAATATACCTGTAAGCCTCATCAAAAAATGAATTCCAGATGTGTTTATTACTGACACGCAGTGCTGCTTTATAGCCCTTAGCAAATGGATTTCTTGAACTAAGATGGTCAAAAAGCTGATCAATCATTCGAATAAATTTAACTGTAGCTTCACAATCCTTAAACTGTGGTAACTTAAGTCAGTCCAACAATATTCAATAGCATCAGCAACACTGGAACTGAATACTTGAGTCGCAAGGTTAACTTTCATTTTTTGCTGCCTCCAATCTATATGCTGAGATTTAAGTTTATTACCAAGTCTCAGACCCTCTGCATCTTGAAGATTTTGTAAATCTTTAATGTATTTCCAACATATTTGTTTCTTTTTAGAATCAAACAAAATACCTTTTTCTGCTAATGTGTTTCTCATCAGCTTTAGCATATGACATACATCAAGAAGAACAAAAACTTTTTTACTTGCTATAAGGGGATGTGGAAATGAAGGTACCATATTTGTAACTTTCAATGAAGCTCCAAGTTCAGAAAGCATACTAAAATGACAAGATGGACCATCACAAGTAATTGATATAACTTTTACACCAACATCAGACAAACGCTGGATACATACTCTAATGAGATTTGCTCTTTCACTTCCAGTGAGACCATTAATAAAAAAATATCCACATAAAACTTTCTACGAGCTGTTGATACTTACAACCATAAAAACCAATGCATGGTTTTTATGGTTGTAATTAGACCTATAATATTAATGTTTTTATAATATTAAAGTCTTTAATGACCACTGCTCTCTTCAATAAAGAGAGCATTATCATTAAAGACTAGTATTGTATACATACAAATGAAAAGTTCTAGGTAATTTTCTTTTAACAACAGATTCCTCATCGGAACTTCCTGAACTATTGCTTCTTAAGCCTCCAGTTCTTTTCCTTTTTTTGCACCCATATGCACAACACTTTGAACCTTGAAGATCTTTTTTTAATCCGCTCATTGTATATTTAACTTAGTTGAAATCTGATATTGCATTTAATATAAAACGATTAGTCGCTTAAAGCTTACGGGAATACAAATATCTGGGGCTTTCCAATATGGCGATTTTGGCGTCAAAAAATTCAAAATTTTGTTCAGAGTTGCGCTATCCAGTTATTATAGAGATCAGTGGTACAAAAGCATTCTCAACTACTCTTCTAGCTCCGCAAAATATTTTATTGTAGTTTTTTTAAACTTCACTAAACTTTAAACTTTCAGGATAAGGTTTTAACAAATGACGTGATTAAAGGAAATGCAGAATCCCCTATCAAACATAGTGGAACAAGAGAATCGCCCAGCTCTTTACAACAGTTATCGAAAAGTTTTGATTCTAAAATTGTTTTCAAAGAAGAAATCTGAAAAATATAGCAGTCATTATTTTTACCAGACGATCCAACATTTGTATAAATAAAACGGTATCTTCAATCTACAACGGCAAAAAGTACAATGAAATGCCACCTTTTATGATTATAATAAAAATTGCTTGATCTTTGGGGATATGGCAACAACAGCTCCAACGCATTTGGGAAAACCAAAAATAGTTTTTAAATCTCTACTAAATTTATTTAAATTTTCTTCTGACAATGGAAATGGAACATATTTAGGGAGCAAAATGTCATTAACAGCGTTAATAAATTCATAAACATTTAAGATTACTGTTGACTTTCCTATTCCAAAAAGGCTAGACACAACACGATACTCTTCACATAAAGCTAGATAATGTAATGCAACTGCAACACGTTTTACTACTAAAATAGGTCCTTGCATAGTTGCTATAGTTTTGCATAAATGTGGATGAAATTCATTAACTATGAAATTAAATGTGTTACGATTTACTCGAAAATGTTCTTTAAGTTCACATTCCTCCATTTGAGTAAAAATCTCATTAAACCATTGAGAACTTTTAGGCTTAATTTAAACTTTTCTTTCAATTAGAATCTCTTGTTGATTCAACTTAAAGGAAACTAAATTTAAATATGAAAATGAGTGGGTGATTGATTCATCATTGATTAATGTTCTACTTCTTGATAGAAGTACGGCTAAAACGCTTTCCATGTTTTTCCAATAGTTTTTTCCTTCACAGATATTCCCAAAAAAGTTATTAAAACTATATTAGTACATTAAATAAATATAGTATTTATTATATTACAATTCAAGGGAACTTAAAACACTTTATTAAAAATCATTTTGTTACAATTATTACAGCATGATATGTAATGCAATTTGATAAAAAACCAATCTCGCTGGCATAATAAAAAAATATATCACTATAATTCATTTACAGGCATGCACCATATTACAAAAAAAAATATTTCTTTGGTTAAAAGTACTAAATATATATAGCATGGAGATGCAAAAAAAAAAGTATTCGTACCATATTAAATACATTTTGTTAAAATGATATTACAAATTAAGAATTTATAATATTCTATTTAGGCTTTTTACACATCTACTTAGGCTTGAGATGCATTTTAGATTGCGCTGCACACACTCTCTAAAGCAGTAACCTCTCTGATACGTAGCTCTTGTGAACGGATTTGAACATCTAATTTTTTATTTGCTATTTTTAAACATTATGAAGAAAAATTTTTAATAAAGTTTAATCAACATCAGAGTTCCTTCGTTTGTTGCAGCCGGATGTAGATTGAGTTGGTTCCTTATCAGAAATAGTGATAATTGGTTTCACATCACTTATATCATCCAAAGCTTCAATATGTAAAATATCGATAGTCTCCTTGCCATCCTCCATTATGGCAATCTGTAATTAAAAAAATACACATTAAAAAAAAAATTCAACATATAAAAAATAATTATAAATCATATTTCAATCGAAATTCATCTCTTGACTTTTAGAGACTTGACTTCAAGTCATTTTTTCCCCCTTCCTTCCCCAAACAAAAAGAATCTATATAGACAATAGATTTTACAAATCGATTTCTTGCCAATATAAAATCATCCTTTTATAATTCGTTAACATGATATTATATGTTTTTGATATTTATGTTTTAAATCTTCTAAATGTTGCAAAAATAAGAATTTCTTAAAAATAATATAGTAGAAATGTTTAACATAATTGTACTTTAAAAAATACATAAAACTTTAAAATATACAGCTATGAATTATACTAAGCTTACCTGATCATCTTGAAAATCTTGATTAAAAAAGTTTTGACTTTGAGATAAAAGATTATCATCAAGGAAAGCTTCACCACCTATTATTTTGGCAACAATATCGTAAGGCCACCCTTTACTAGAAGCTCCTCTCGATGAACCTGCTTGAACATTTTCTCGTCTATGAAAAATATACATAAATATAAGTAAATATAAGCATATCATTAACACAATATAATATGAATCAAATAACTTTAAATGTGACAATTAAAAATTATTAACAAGCTGTAAATCTACAATACTGAATAGGACTTTTAGTAATTTTTGATACAACACTCAGTTACAAATGGTACATGGTTAATATTGTGAAATACTTTCAGGATTTTAGTATTGTATCACACATTAATATATAATTTGCCTAAATTGTTTCCTCAAAATACTAATTTTAGATTGAATTTGAGATCCAGTTAAAAGAGGTATGATATTAAATGCGTTTGAAAATTTAGCTGTCATTTGTTTATAAATATTTGCGTATCTTCTTGCAGATATTAGCACTTTGTAATTATCTTTCCATAAATCTAATAATAATTTTGTGTAAGCAATACTCCATACAAAATTAATTACAGGAGATATGCAAAGACCAGTATGTGTTGTACCGGTATCAACACTGTGTTTATCTGAATGCTGAGATATTGTATAAACTTAAGGTTTTACCTATTAAAAAGAATAAGTAAATCAAACCTAACAACAAAAACAGCAACAAGAAGAAAAAAAATTAATAATAGAATAAATAATAGAAGGTTAAACTTTACAATTGGTATAAATATTATGAGCATACTAAATAATTTAATGGCATGGGCTTTAACTACTTCAACAATGCTATGGGCTTAATAAATAATGGGCTTCCTAAATATAATAAATTGGTAAAAGCTGGTAGCCAAGAGAACAGAAACTTTCAGATGCTACTTTTATTCTTATTTTTACTTTTCAATGCAATGTAATAATTGAACTTGTTATTTCGAAAAGGACACAATTTGCCAAAAGCTATCCAATGATATTGTTTCCAAACATCATAAGCAATTGAGGCATTGCAAATAAAAAAAATGGAAGTTTAAAAAATTTGTAAACAATATTCAAAGTCAGTTTGTTGTTATTTTGTTATTGTACTTTTTGGTAGAATAAAAATAAATTTCAAACTAATAATATGTTTCTAGATTAGAATTGAATTAATAAATGTCTAGATAAGAATTGGTTGTATTTTTGCCATGTGCTTTATATCTTTATATTTAGATTGAAGCAATTTGCTTTTAAATCCAACAAAAATACCCCAACACAAAATAAAATCCTGGAGGGATTTAATAAATCCCTGTCCGAAAGAACAGTCTAAATAACGTAACTAACTTATAGCAAAAAATAAGGTTCAAATAGGTAGTAGAGATAGCCTAAAACTTTGATATTTTTATCTATAATTGAGGTACGCAAGAAACAATTATCAATTACCTTAATCGTGATTTTGTTTTAATTAACTTTTTAATTGATCGAATAGTTGTTAATAACATATCCAACAAACTTTTACTTTATTAATCCATTTCAATTACAACTCTCAAAGTTAACTGACTACATTGCAAGATTTTTTATTATTTTGCAAAAGCGCCATTTTAACTTGCTTCTGCAATAATTTTACTACAAAGACTGCAGTCTTTGTATTTGGATTTAATTGTAATTAATTAAATTGTAAATTTAATTGTAAAAGGACTTAAATCGTGTTATAGTACTGTAACGCGATTTAAATCCATTTTCGGCTTAGTTCTCCATCCAGCTAAGCTATTATACCTCCTTGATTTAAGTATGTTTATATTTCCTAGTCTATAAAGTTTTTTCACGGTCGTTTAGATATTAGTAAAAAGCGCTATATTTAGGTACGCATGCGTAAAACAATACGAGCTTTTAAAATGGCTACGGTTCTTAACTACAGAGACTGTTTTATATGGCAACAGATTATTTGTTAATACACGGATTTATAGTCTCAGTTCCGTTCCGCAAATTATCACAAATATGATTGCTAAAATAAAAATTTCGAGCAAAAATATAAATGTGGAAAAGTATATACAGGCAAATTCCTAGAGGGCTATGACTATTATCTGTAGATGACACTGTCTTATATTTTAAATACTGTTTTATGTTATTTTTACTTCCTAATAATTTATTAATATAAGTGTAATAGAAAAGTTTATAGCATGTATTGAAACATTTTTTTGATTACGTAAAAAGTTGGTATTAAAGATTGCCTTGAAAATCATCCTATCATACTATATATCTTATTATACTATATATCATATCATACTATATATCTTATCATACTATATGAATATATATATATATATATATATATATATATATATATTATATAGATTTTAGCATAATTTTAGCATGTCATATATATATTTAGCTATCATACTATATATCATATCATACAGTATGATATGATATATATCATATCATACTGTATGATATGATATATAGTATGATGGGATGATTTTCAAGGCACTTCAAAAACAATAATAATATATATATATATATATATATATATATATATATATATATATATATATATATATATATATATATATATATATATATATATATATATATATATATATATATATGTGTGTGTGTGTGTTTGTGTGAGTGTCTGTGTTTGTTTGTATATATATAATTATATTTTAGTTAATAAAGTTGTTTAGATAATAAAATTTAATATGGCGTACACTTGTGTTGTTATTGGATGTAAAAATACAAACTGCAAGCTTAAAAAATGGGACAAGGAAATGTGTCAACAACATGGTTGTGTTCGTTCTGAAGGTCTTTGTACTTGCTTAAAACCTTTTTTGTAAGTTAACTAATGATTGAATAAATTCGCTGTTAATATACTGGTGTTTGTAATATAAATGATTATTTTATAGGTTCAATAAATTTCCCAATATTAAAAAAAATGCAGAGCGTCGTGATCAGTGGCTCAAACTTATAAATAGAAAAACAGTAACAGATAAATTATGGCAACCAAGCAAAGATGCGTGTGTGTGCTCCATTCATTTTACTGATAGTCGACCAACCGATGAACATCCGAATCCTACTATAAATCTAAGATACGATTCAAAGAAAAGAGAGGCTTTGTTTTCTCCTGTTCTAAGTAAGAGACGTTTTCCATCTAAGCAATTATTTCCTTTCACAAAAAAGTCTAGAGTTAATTCTGTTAGCATTTGTCATGAGCCTGAAAATGCAATAAAAGAAAAATTTATTGAAACTTCAAGCTGTAATTTGAAAAACGATGAGCAAGGTCAAAGCAGTATTCAAAATGAGTCGCTGGAATTTGAAGATATATGTTTTGAGTACACTAAAAATGATAGGGAAAATGCAAATAAATCATTGACTATACAAGATATTTTTGTTCTTATAGTAGCATTAGTGTCCACTATACACACATTGTTATGCTGCATACAAAATTTACATTCCCAAATTGAGCAATTGAAGAAAAACCTAAAAGAGCCAATTTTCAAAAAACTACTTAATGAAAACAACTGTAAATTTTATACAAACATAGCTCAAATTGAGTTGTTTCATAAATTGCATGACAAAATTATGCCACTAATAAAAAGAAGACTCCCACAAAACTCTGACAATGTTTGCCCCAGATTATTTAAATTGACACCACAGAAAATGGGCCCCAAAACAAAAATAAATTCTATTGATGAGTTTTTATTAACATTAATGAAGTTGCGACTTGGTCTGCTAAATAAAGACTTAGCAGATAGATTCGGAGTTTCCGAAGGATTATGCTCCAAAATTTTCCATAGTTGGATAAGAGGAATGTCTGAGTATTTCAAGAATTTCATTTTTATGCCAGATATGGGTGCAATACTTGCTACAACACCTCAAAGATATAAAAAGTTTGATAATTTATCATCAATTATAGATTGCTCAGAAATTTTTATTGAAACACCGAAAAATTTAGCGTTACAAAGTGTCACATGGTCAGATTACAAGCACCACAACACATTAAAATTTTTAATATCAATTGCTCCTAATTCAAGTATAACATTTATTTCAAAAGCTTACACAGGACGAATTAGTGATAAAAAAATTACAAAAGACTCTAAGTTTTTAGATATTTTACCAAAATACAGCACATTAATGGCAGATAAAGGTTTTAGTTTATATGATGAATGTGCTGCTAGATCGTTGTATTTTCTAGTTCCACCAGGTAAACGTGGTGCAACTCAGATGACTCCAGGTAAAATTAAAAAAACTAGCAATATTGCTAAAGTTAGAATTTTAGTTGAGCAAGTCATAAGAAGACTCAAAACTTTCAAAATCATTGCAAATGAGATACCGATATCTTTGCTCTCTCATGTTGATGATATTTTAGTTGTATGTGCTGCATTATGTAATTTTAAAAAACCAATTTATTCAGACTAATTTAGAATTATTCTTAGAACATATTGTATCTTATATCTTTTTATGCTATTGTATTGTGTGCTATATCTCTTTATGCTATATATAATGTATGCTATATCTTTTTTTATTTATTTTGCATAGAAAAAATAAATAACCTTATCTAATAAAAGCTTATTTGCTAAAAAATTTCTAGAGGCATATGGTGGGGTCTAATAGTAATCTCTTAGTCAAGTGTTGTAACACTACTCAACTGCTGCATTACTTTTTAGTTTTTAAACCCTTATAATTCAAATAACTTAGCCAAATGAAATGTATTTTAATTTTCTGAGGGGCTATCCAATAATAACGTTAACAAGTTTTTTGAAATTTTTACCCCCTCCCTCTTGTCAACAATTTGTCAAATTTCTAGAGACCCCCCTATAAAACTGCGTCCATTTTTGATTACATCCCCCCCCCCTCTCTAATATAGACAAAAAGCCACAAACGCCGCCTAATTTTTCGTTTTTGGAGTAATGAAATTAAAAAAAAAAACATTGTTGACGTCAACTCAGTGGCGTAACTAGGGGTAGCAAAATCCCGCGAGGCGGGTGGGCTCCGGAGCTTAGAGGGCCCCGCGGAGATTTACAAACTTTACTCATATGAATAATATGACTGGTAATAATAATTAGTAATTTTTTATAGACTTAATCGTGTTATATTAATTTAATATAAAAAGCAAATATTGGATATTTCATTCTTAAATATGTTTTGAAAAAATCTAAACTGGGAGAAACAATTTGGCGGGGGAGTCCAAATTTATAGTTAAGCCACTGCGTCAACTTTACTTGAGCTCTGTCTGCTTATATATATAATCATAAAATCCTTCAAGGAACGAACCTTCTAAGAACTTCTCTAGAAGCATCGTCCCTCCAATGGATTGTACTCAGTCGTGTTCTACCTTTGTAAAGGCATCCCGTTTTTTTCTTCAAACTTTTTATGTCAAAGTAGATCTGTCACACCGCAAACAAATGTTTGCTGCATTAGGCGCCTTTTTGCTGTCTCTGCATGATGACTAAAATTACTAATAATGTACACATCTTTTTTTTTTCTTATAGTATATAGTATAATAAACATTTCCTATGAAAGACCTAATAAAAACTGTGTCCAAAATATTTCAACCACCCTAATTTCAGCTCTTAACTCTGGAGCAAACTCCGACAAGGCCGCTGCGCGGAGAAATAAGTTTTGCGTGCTACTATCACAGACGTTGTGGTGGTAAAAAGAGCTGAATTAAGGGGGTGCACTTTTATGGACCCTTAAATTGTCAAGAGGGGACATAAAAAAACCTGCCTGTTTTAGGTACTTCCTCCTTTAAAAATATGCAAATTTAACTTTAAAAGCAAACAAAGCTGTATAGAGTTTTAAAGATTATAAAGATTTATGAATAGTTGACACCCCAGCCTACCCCTTCATCATGCCCAAAAAATTATAATTTCATTATAAAAACATAATTTCACTGATCAAAATAAAAACTTTCAGTTTTTTCAGGCCTAACAAA